CAAGGTGGGGAATTAATGCTCCTTTTAGAGGCAGGATTTACATTGGATCTCAGGCTCTGGAAGCTCCCACTGTACACAGGCCTTTGTTCTAGATCTGCCTGAGAAATAGCAAGAGTCTTATTAGACTGAGTCTGTGGCCCTCAAGTCAACTGAAGAAATTGATGTGATTATAACTGTGAGTTTTTTTTTTCCTTCTCTTCCCTTTATTTCTCTTCATTCCTTCCTTTCTTTCCTTCTTCATGTTTCCTCTCCTCTCCTCTCCTCTCCTCTCCTCTCCTCTCCTCTCCTCTCCTCTCCTCTCCTCTCCTCTCCTCTCCTCTCCTCTCCTCTCCTCTCCTCTCCTCTCCTCTCCTCTCCTCTCCTCTCTTCTCCTCTCCTCTCCTCTCCTCTCCTCTCCTCTCTTCTCCTTCCCCCCCCTCCTCCTCCTCCTCCTCCTCCTCCTCTTCTTCTTCTTCTTCTTCTTCTTCTCCTCCTCCTCCTTTTCCTCCTCCTCCTCCTCCTCCTCCTCCTCCTCCTCCTCCTCCTGTCCTCCTTCTCCTCCCCTCCTTCCCCTCCTCCTCTTCCTTCTCCTCCTCCTCCTCCTCCTCCTCCTCCTCCTCCTCCTCCTCCTCCTCCTCCTCCTCCTCCTCCTCCTCCTCTTCTTCTTCTTCTTCTTCTTCTTCTTCTTCTTCTTCTTCTTCTTCTTCTTCTTCTTCTTCTTCTCTCTCTCTCTCTCTCTCTCTCTCTCTCTCTCTCTCTCTCTCTGGTCCAGATTTATACAATCATTATTGCAATCATTGGTCAAACTTTACATTCTCTTTGGCCACAAGGAAGGGTAGGGAGTGGATTAAAAGAGAGACCAATTTTAGCAAAACAAATAAGAGCTGGAGCTGCTTAGAGAGGAAAATGATGACAAGTAATGAGGTCCACATCTCTGAATGTGTTCAAACCTAGGAAGGCTGAAGGAAACTCTGCTTAGGGTTGTTTCCATGATAATGTTGAGAAATAGCTTTGCTGGTTGGAATCTCCTAGGAACTGGCCTACTAATCAGTGTTTTGTAATTCCTGTGAGACAGAATCTGGGTAGCTACCCACTCCAGGAGCTGTTGAAGATTGTGTGGGAGAGTAGATGAGTGTTTTGAGCAAGGTCTGGTACAAGGTGCCAATTTCTTTCCATCTGATGAGTCTTTGTCAGAGTTCGATCTGCTTGTGAATTATTCTGGAATCCATTCCCAGCAGAGCCATATGTTCACAATTGTTCTAACATCTGAACATTTACCCTCTAACAACACCTGTCCCCTGTTCACTCCCACTGACAGAGTCAACCCATTGTTCAACGTGGATAAATTGAGTCTGAGGAGAGACTGGAAAGGAGAGAGGGGAGGAGGGAAGCCTTTCCTCAGATTGGTATTCAGGGCCAAGATGTGTCTGGGGAGGCCCAACCAAGCCTTCACACAGAACGTAGGGAGAGAGCACATGGCCCTGCCAGAGCCATATTGTGCCCCATGCAGTCTGATGCTGCCACAAATAATATTGATGCCTTTTGTTTGGAAACTCTTTGTGGAGGCTTCCCATTTCCCAACAAGCCACGCTTAATGTTGGTCCTCCCCCAAGCCGCTTTGCCTTTTGCACAGTCCCTCGGCCAACTGTACAGGCAGATGAGGGGCCCTGAATGCTAATGAGGGGAATGGCTGGCATTCCTGAGGCACCCCAGCTCTGGGAACCCCGCCTTTGTTGCTAAGGAGCTTTGGAACTGTAGCTGAAAGGCTCTAACAAGAGGAGGGAATGAGGAGAGGGAGAGAAGAAAGGCAAACATTTGTGTTCAGAGCTTCGCAGTTCTCTGATCATCTCCAAAGCTGTCCAATTTCTGATCCCAATTAGAATATCAAACCCTGTTATTGTTTCTCTTAATAATCTTGGGGAATTCCTTTGAAGACTCAGTGAGCACTTAGCAAACATTTTGGACAGTGTGCTCCATACTGTTGTACTTCTGCTTGTGTGAAAAGACCACGCTGAGCATCCTGAAAACACCCTTTATTCCAGTCCCCAGAAGGTGGTCATGAGGTTGGGAGAACTAGAATAGGGTGAAAGCTGTTGAATTTTCAAAATATTTATGTGAGAGCTCTATTCAACAGATGTTTTCCAGGTGCTCACTTACTGGTGAATCTGGATTCTGTGCTGGGGACAAAAGTGAGCAAGATCTTGGTCCTGGCTTGGAGTAAGTTTGAGACTTGCCAGGGAGACAGACCTCACATACTAAAGAAAAATCCATGGGTTATTTGCTCTTACTGTGATCCAGAGAGTACTGTTGAACTTGAAGTGCTCACTGAATTCTAACCATTGCTTAGTCCTTCACAGGCTGTAAGTTCTTGGGCAAGTACATTTATCACCTTAAGCCTCAGTTTCTCATCTGTACAATGGGCATAGTAATACCAACCTCACTGGGTTATAGTGAAGACAAGTGGAGGTGAGAGAATCAGAAACAGGAATGTGGAGGATAGAGTTTCTCAGGATCCCACTATCAGTGAGCCAACTATTGGCCTGGAAGGTCACACAGTACCTGAAAAAGACAACTAATGATTTGGCTTATTGAATAGGATAAATCAAAATACTGTCTAAGAGTAAAATACTAAGCCAATTAGGATAAATCAAAATACTGTCTAAGAGTAAAATACTAAGCCAATTTCCCTTGCCATCTCACACAGACTGTCAAAGCTTCCTGATGCTCAGCAGCTAAGGGAAGAGACATCAGAAAGCTCCATCTCTACCATGCCCAAGGAATTGTTTGAACAACATAGCCCTCAGAATTTGTAACACTCCTCTGCAGAGATAGGATTACTCCCATTGTTACAGATGGAAAAACTGAAGCTCAGGGAGAGCTAACAACTTGCCAAGACTACTACTTCCTAATTGTTAGAGCTGAACTTTGGCTATTTTTAAAGCCTATTCTGTGTTGAAGTGTGGTTGATGGTCAGGGACAGTGACTGTGGATATAGATCTAGCCATGGCTGTCCCATTTATAGAAGTATTCACCCAATCAACACTACAGAAGTACAGGGTATGCACCATCTGTAGTCATTTAGCTCTGGGGTCACCTTTCATGCTATGCCAATGGAGTTCCCTGCAGTTGTCTGACTTGGTGGGTGCTGAGGTTCTCATCTATTGGGAGCTATATTTAGATGCTGGACATAAAGAATTGAACCAGGTGTTGCCTAAACTGGTTTGGCTCAGTGAATAGAACGTCGGCCTGCGGACTGAAAGGTCCCAGGTTCGATTCCGGTCAAGGGCATGTACCTTGGTTGCGGGCACATCCTCAGTGGGGGGTATGAAGGAGGCAGCTGGTAGATATTTCTCTCCATCGATGTTTCTAGCTCTCTATCTCCCTTCCTCTCTGTAAAAAATCAATAAAATATATTTTAAAAAAAGAATTGAGTCAGGTATAATCATTGCCCTTCACGGCCTTATTACTTAGTTTGATAATTCCAGCTTCACATTCAGGGCCTTCCTTTACCTCAGTTCCTTTTCCAATCCATTTTCCCACAGAGAGGTATCTTGTGACCAGTACTTTCCAAAATGCCCTATACATCTGGCCCAATCCAGAAACTTTCTTGTCACTTCCCTGAGGCTCTATTTCCTCATCTGTGAAATTGAGCTGTAAAAACTGCCTTACTGTGTTGTAAGAGTTGAATTAAACAGAATATGTCAAGTTCCTAGTGCATAGTAGTTGCCTGTGCATTGTTTGAATCTAATAATTGAATTATTTGATCTAACATTCTAATTTTCCTCATTTGATAGATATTTTTAGCAAGAGAAAGTCACATCTGTTGACTTACTTCGATAACCTAAAAGACAGCTAGCAGGTACAAGAGTTCTAGAATGTTAGAGAGTTCAGTCTGCCTCTAGAAGCATTTCTCTGGGCAACTCAGGGATTATAAAAATGAAAGCAGGTTAGACCAGAGGGCCCTTAGAGGTCATTTATGTTAGTGGATTCAAATTATTTTGTTCAAAAGGTTTTGTTCAAAAGACATTATGAAAAGACAATGGATAAAAGAGGGTACTCAGAGAGCTGTCTGTTTGCTTTTTCCCTTATACCGAACTCTTCCTGCTATCTCCCATACAGAAAACCAGGATCCAGGTCACTCGGCATTAATGGTGGTCCTGGGAACACATTTGTATCTGAAGTCCTGGACCAGTGCTCATCAATGAGATCTTGCTACCTGTGTGGTGTGTGAGTGTCGTATTGGTGTGGGAGGTGCAGAGTTGAGGGTGTGGGGGATGTTAATGATAGAAGAACTGAAAATTGCTGGAAAGTTTTGCTTGATTTTTCTGCCAAAAGAAGAATAGAAAATGCTACCTATTTCTAGAATTCTTTGTCCTAGGAGTCCCTCCTCAAAACTTCTATCCAGCATTCTGGGAAAACATCTTTGGAGACAGTGTAACATTATCTAGTTTTGTACTAGAAAAAATATTGGGCTTGTTTTGAAAACCTCAGTTGGAATTCTACTTCTTAGTATTAAGATAATATATTGTTAATAGTTTTATTTTTTCCTATAATGTGAAAATCGTTTCCAGAACAGTGACTAGAAGAAGGGCTGACTTACTTATCTAACAATGATGTATTTAGGACTATTATGTGACAGGCATTCTGGGGAATTGACAACATCTAGCCTGTTTTTTATAATATGAAAATGCAGGGTTTGCAAAAACACAGCTTGATCAGCAATGTAGAAAAAATATGTAATATTCATAATAAGCTTTATTAGAATAGAAGGGGATTTTAAGAAATTGGGTTCTTGCCACCTCAAAAGAGAAAACCTGATTTTTCTCAGATCACTTTGAGCTGCTTATGAGTGAGAATCACAGCCAGAAACGAAGGCCAAGTCCAAAGCATCTACATTAGCTGCATCGGCCTCTACCCTGACAGCGCCTGCCTCCACCACTACATTTGGGCTGGGGATCAACATGTGTGCGGGTAAAAAGGGAGATAAAGCAAACATCTGTTCTCACAATATGGGCTTGTTATCATAGCTCCTTTAAGTACTGGAGTGCTGGTTCCAAGAGCATATTTTCTCCCGAACGGAATCTCCTCAAGGCCTGGTCGATTTTCCGAGGGCTCAGGGACAGGTTGTAAATGAGGTTGTAGTTGTGAATGAGGCGCCTGGCTCGTTCCTTCTCCAGGACTCCTGTGATTAGGTAAGGTTGGAGGTACATTTTTGAAAGAGGACAGAGAAAATAAAAAGAATACAAAATGTATTAGCTTGAATGACTTTGGAGTAATCATGAAATACTAATATTTTTGACACCTTAAAAATATATTTCTAGTCCAAGTATGCATCATAGATGCCAGGAAAATTTTTAGGGTGACTTTGGGGAAAGGAGATGGGGGGGGGGGTTCCAGTAAAATTTGTAGATAGATTCTAAAGCAATTTAAGCGTGTTCTTTGTGGCCATAAAACTTAAAAAGCCAAGTTTTGAAATAGATGGGTGTCTGCTAAAAATAATTTTTAATTGTTCTGGTTTATTTTTATCTGTGAAGTGTCCAAACATATTCCTAAACATGCAGGATTCAAAAAGCATTCTCATGTCTTTCTGGAAATGTATTTACTGTGACTCCTTCCACCTTTCTGTGTAATCACAGGTAAACCACATAACTTCTTGTGGCTCAGAGTCTGAATCTGTCTATTAGAGATGGCAATGTTTATCATTATTGGATTTACTCTGGTATCCACATGTTATATATACCAGTGCCAACGTGTTTTCCATGGTAAGGTTAGGTAGATTTTAAAGGTTGCAAAGAGTTTAAGTGTTGAACATACTAGCAGCTAAGATCAACGACTCATTCATATGCCCCTAATTGCGAACTTACATATGTCAGACACTGTAGTTGGGAATCTAGAGGGGTTATAATGCTGGTCTATTACCTCAAGGAACTTCCAATCAGTTGGAGCTAAAAGCTATGCAAAAAATTAACTAAAGTGCAACAACAGTAACAATAATGACTGATACATATAAATTCACTATGTTTCACTCCTACAAGCATTTTACCAATAACAATTCATTTACTCCCCATGAGAACCCATTTTAGGAGTGAGAAACAGACGTGGAGATGGCAAATCACTTGTCCAAGGTTGCTTAAGTCCATGCATTAAAGCACTTCTCTAGATTATAGAATTTTAGTCAGGCTCATATTGTGTTCTGGATATGTTCCTTGATTGTGAAGCTCTATGCTAGCAGTATCAATGAGAAGATTTTAAATATCGAATGAACAATATATTCCTTAGATGTTCCTTTACTACTTTCCTGTACTTAGTAAATGATTGTAAAATTCATTCTCAAAGACCTCAAAGGTGGTCCCCTGGTCATTTATCGAAAGCCACTGCCAGTCCATGAGAGAGAGGTCTAGTGGATGTCTGCCTTCTCTGTGTAAGTTACCAAATACTGTTTCTATTGGAATGTGTAAGGACTGTTAAGCAATATGTGCCCCTCTGAGCTGCCATCCAATGGGTATTCTTATCAGTGGGCTACAGACAGGTGGTCCTAATGTGATTTATGCCCTCTATTCTTTCTTGTCCAGTCTTAGTCTATATCCTGCCCATCCTATCCCAGTTTGTTTGTTTCTATCCTATTCAGATTTGTTTATTGTCTCTCTCTTCTATTAGAATGCTGGTTCTTTCCTCTGCAGAAACCTTTTTCTTTGATGTTGGCTAAGGGCATTGCTGCAGATCTCTGGATTGGGTGGCTGCTGTCAATCTGGCCTGGAATTGATCTCTCAGGACACTTTCTCAGACCCTGTCTTTGGAGTAAGTGTCTGCCTTGGAAGAGTACTTTAACCTTTTGATCCTTGGTTTCTTCAACTTTAAAATAGGGATAATAAAATTGTATTAAAAAAATCAGTAAAATAGCAAGTGCTTAGCAAAAGGCCCAGAACTAGGAAGCACTCATTAATGCAGTTAATACCAGAGAATAATTATAGCAATTATAACATCAACATTGTTTAAAATATATAAGAATGCATTTTAATAAAAAGAAATAATTAAAAACATATATCCATATATACTTCAGTGTATATTTTAATTAAAAATTTTAAATAGTGTTAAAAACACATTTAGGAATCACCACTAGTGTGTGTGTGTGTGTGTGGGGGGGAATTTTCTACTACCTTCTAAGCTTTATAATTGGTAGGGGTTCCCTACTGTCAAACAAAAGTCATTGCCACCGAAACTAGTTTGGCTCAGTGGATAGAGCACCTGCCTGTGGACTGAAAGGTTCGATTTCGGTCAAGGGTATGTACCTTGGGTGTGCAAGAGGCAGCTGATCAATGATTCTCTCTATCCATCTCTCTTCCTCTCTGTAAAAAAAAATCAATAAAATATATATTAAAAAAAAAGTTCATTGCCCTGGTTGGGTGGTTAGTTGGCATGTGGTCCCATACCTCCAAATGTTTCAAGTTTGATTCCAGGTCAGGACACATACTTAGTTTGCAGGTTCGTTCTCTGGTGGAGGCAACTGTTCTTGTTTCTCTCATCAATATTTCTCTCTCTCTGTCTCTTTCTCTCTCTTCTGCTGTTACCAAAATCCAATAATAATAATAATAATAATAATAATAATAATAATTATAATAACCATATCCTCAGGTAAGGATTAAAAAAAGAAGCCTGTTGACTGGAATTTGTGTCTGTCTGATTTACAGTCATTAGGGGCAGCCCAGGACAGCTGCCTAAAATAACCCTTAAAATCCATCTTAGTGATAGAAAGGTGGCCCTTCTTCCACCAGAATAAAAATGAAAGAAATAATAAGAAGAACCTCTTTAGCATCCACTTCATTCTATAGTTCACAAAACACATTCAGATATCATGGGGCCCCTTTTCAGATGTGGGAGGTACATTTTATTATTATCCTTCCTTTTTTATAGAGGAGGGAAAAGATCACAGAATATAAGTGATTGGCTTTCAAGACTCAGAAATGGATAACATCTGAACTTGAATTTAGGTCTTTTGGTAAAAGTCAACAAAGCAACAAAAGTAACTTATGTTCTTTCCGGTATATCATGAGAGTTTGGTGTAGTGGGAAGTCCAATAGATCTGGATTTGAATTATGATTCACCTTCCTACTTTGAGCTTGGCTTTCTCCTCCAAAGTAAGGACACTAATTCCTTCAACATGTGGTTAATGTGTGGTGTTAGTGAGGCAGTACATGTAAAGTCTAGACCCACCCAGAGAATGTCCTTGAAGGCTCTCATTGCATTCTGTCACATTGAACTCTAAAATACTTTTTATTCAGCCTTTAGTTCACTGGGAAAATTCCAAATCTACCATTCATCCCAACATTTATCTCAACTTCCCTTCCTCCTTTTGAAAACATGATCAGTCATTTCTTATTCCTTCTCTTCAAGGATATTTTCTTTTTCTTTTTCTTTTTTTAAAAAAATATATTTTATTGATTTTTAACAGAGAGAAAGGGAGAGATAGAGAGCTAGAAGCGTCAATGAGAGAGAAATATCGACCAGCTGCCTCTTGCACACCCCCTACTGGGGATGTGCCCGCAACCAAGGTACATGCCCTTGACCGGAATCGAACCTGGGACCTTTCAGTCCGCAGACTGAAGCTCTATCACTGAGCCAAACCGGCTTCGGCCAAGGATATTTTCTTGACAACCCCCATTAGAAAATAAGCACCAAATAGGTTCCCAGAAATGCCAATTTAATGATGGATGGTTTGCCATCATCCTGGATGGAGGACACCCTGGCCTACATATTTCCTTGCACATAATAAAGAACAGTGATTCATCAGTGGGCAAAATAGGTATCATCTGCTCAGTGTCTAGAATGGGGCAGTGGTGGTCTGCTAAATACTGGGGTTAATAAGCCAACAAAATGACTTCAGTTAATCCTCTTTCCTAATTAAAGACAGTTATAGATGTTTCCAGATCTGCCTGACACATTCCTTGGCTGTTGAAGAACTACTGAATTTCATAGAAACAGAGAAAACAGACATAAATAGTAAAGAGGCCATGAGAAAGGCATTTCAGATCTGCTGGACTCTGCCTCCAAAGTCAACAAAATGCCATTTTTCCTTAGAACAGTTTAGAAGCATGAGAAAGGTCCTGGTCTTTGGGGAGTCTCTTAGCAACTAAGTTTATGATCCATCACCCAGCATTGTAAGTCAGCATTTGTTTCTTTGAAAATGTCTTTTATTTCTACTCAGTTTTCTGTTTTTGTTTCATTTTTGTTTGTAACTCATCACCACTCTCACAGTACTGGTCTGAATACCTAGAATCATGATTATTTCAATAACCTTTTAATCTCCTTTCCCCCCCAATATCTTCCCTAAATGATCAATCTCAGCTTTTCTTGTGTTGTCCTCTGGGTGAACCTTTGCTGAATACTGGGTAGAGAATGAAGCCCCACCCTAGCTTTCAGGATTCATATTAGTGCCTTAAATTTACTACTCAACCAACATGAGTCTCAAGTTCTGACCTGTTCACATCCTTCACCAAACTTCATTCCAACCTCCAAACTTTGTAGAAGATGGTTTCAAACTTGGAATGCACTACCCACTTATCCAAAGTCTACTGCTCCTCAGGCTAATCTCAAGCTCTCTTTTGCATGGAGCCCTCTCTGAGTATCCCAGCTAATATTAGACAATGAGCTACTTTTCCTCTCTCTCACTGACCTTTGGACTCTTTAACTCTTATGTGTGTCTTTAATTGTAATACTTTACTGTAAGCTGTTTTTTGTTTGTTTGTTTTGTTTTTAAAGATTGGTATCAAACTATTGTTAATTCCTGTGTCTTACCTTCTTACCTATAAGCTCTTTCAGGTCGGAGACCATGTCTCATTCTTTCTTGTTTCCCTCCCAGTCCAGTCTCTAGTACAGTGCTGGTCTCATAAGAGATGCTTAATAAATTATTTTTTGATTCAGCTAAATAAATTTTCATTGAAAAATTTCCTTTCTTTGTTATAATTATTACAAGTCCTTGGGTGATAGAGGGTAGTTATACTTCATGCGGTCTATATTTAATTTCCTTGGGAAATTAAAAAAAAATGAAACAAAAACACAAAGAGAATGAAAAAAACAGGCATTTATATTGTTGTATAATTACTTCTAGGGAGTACTGATGTGTATGCCAACTTTTAAAAAATTAATTACTTTCAGTTTTATTGAAATATAACAGTGTGTGAATTTAGGGTGTACAATGTGATGATTTGATGATACATATATATATTGAGAAACGTTTACCACAATAAGTTTATTTAAAATAACCTTTACTTCATATAATCACCATTTTGTTGTTGTCAATACTGTTATGGTAAGAACATAAAAGCTGTACTCTCATATCAATTTTTAAGTATACAAAAAATATTATTTAATCACCACCCTACACATTTGATCCTCTGAACTTACTGCTCTTATAACTGAAAGTTTGCACCCTTTGATCAATGTCTCCCCATTCTCTTTAGCAACCACAATTCTAATCTCCATTTCTTTGAGTTCAATGTTTTTAGATTCCACATATCATAAACTAACTCTTCATTTACCACAATATGTGATTAAATGCAACAGTTTCAGTCCATGTGCTTTTTTATAAGCTCTCTCCTTTCCATTCTCCAAGTCTCTGGGTTCTGTAATTCATTCTCTCACTTGGACATTGCAATGGCCTCCATTCCTTTTTTCTGCTTTCATCTTTATTCAAGCATACAATCAAGGATCTTTATGAAGTACAACTTTATCACATATTCCACTGCTTAGAAACTACTCACTATCTTTTCATTAAGTTCAAATTCCTTGGTCCAGCATCTAAGAGCCTTCTAGATCTGGTCCCATCTCATATATCCATCTCTATATTTAATATTCTTCTTTAAAATTTTTATTATTTTATTTTTAAGTTATTTATTTATGTTTTGTTTTAATTTACAGTTGACATTCAATTACTATTCTTCTTAATAGCATCTATATTCTACCCAAACCAAACCAAACTCCTTGCTTTGAGCTTTATACATAATACTTTGCTTGGCCAACTTGCACCTTTGCCAGGGAGGACCCTGTATTTCATTCCTTTGTATATAAACTGCCTTTTACCTTAATGATCCATTTCACATTATGATCCAGTCCCGATCACCTCACTAGGAAGGAATTCTCCTTTCTCTGAATGCCCACATGGCACATCCTAATGGCATTTAGCACCTTCCATCTTGGATTTAGTTATTTTGTACATTCATGCATTTATTTGCTGCCTCAAAATTATGTTAAACAGAATTGTGTAAGGTGCTTGAGTAAAAATGTAATTTAGTCTACTGGTGAGATAGTACTAAGCCCTTAGACTAAAAAAAAAAAAAAATACACTAATATCAAATATAATAATGGATGTTAAAGAACCCTGAGAGATCAGATAAAAATTTGGCTGGGTCTGTCTGGGGAAATCAGGGAAGTCTCAGAGGAATAGTGCTTCAGTTCCAACATATAATATTTATAGGTATTAAGTAGCCAGGTGGAAAAGATGGGAGGTGTCAGGCGGTGGGGTAGGTAGAAAAGAGGCAAACAGCTCAAATGGAGAGTGTAGAGTTAGAAAAGGCAAACTCCAGGAGAAAGCAAGGCAAGTCTGAGGAAGGCAAGTTATTCATTATGTCTGGGTAAGATATGTTGAAAGAATAACAATTGAAGGAGAAGAGACGGGTCAGTCAGATGGATAGGGCCCAGGTTTTGACTTGCTAAGAAGTTTAGAGTTAGCTTGTTAGCAAGCATGCTGAAGTATTTTATTTAGGAGAATGAGATTGGATTATAGGTTAGACTCAGGTAGTAGAGTGGACAGAGGATCAGAGACACAAGGAAACTGTAAGTAGCCTGGTGGGGGATTTATTCATATCTTGATTCATCTTTATATTTATTGATTGTTCTTAGCACAGTGCCAAGCACTAGGTTTATAAGCAAATTGTATTTTTTAAGAAGTGAAAAAAGATGTGTCCCACTTTCAGACTGGAACATGAAAAGAAAGGCATATTAGCTTCACACACTCACCTGTATTACTCAGATCACACAGATAGAGGGCATTTTCTAGCTTTCTGAACCTGTCAATCCACATCTCACATTCTTCAGATTTGTTCTCCATCACTGGACTCCCAAATGGCTGTGAGACTGGTCTGATCTTCAAAGAGCTCAGGGTATCTTTGGGGTCTGAAATCTCAGCAGGAAAGGTTTCTGGCTGCAGCTCTTCTTTGGGAGATTTCTATACACAAAAAAGACACAAGCATCTCACTGGCAGCACATTCAGCAGCCAGAGTGCCTCCACTCTTTTGGCTGAAGACGAGGCCACACAACTAGTATGATTTATTGCAAGGTCTGGTTTTATAAAGGTAGGAGGATGAGTTTCAAATCCTCAGTGCCATTGGACCATATCTGCCAAGTCTTGTTAGACGTAAACTACTATCTGAGTGTGCATGTGTGTGTTTTTAAAGAGAAGGGTGAAATCATGACTTTTATTCAGTTTCATTTCTGACTTACACAAAGCAAAATTTTTGTAACTGCTGAGACTTTTCAAGATAGTCTAATCTTCATATTAATGGCACCAACAGGGCATGGGCTTCAGGAAATGCTTACAACATATTGGTGGGAAAACCTCTGGATCATGAATGTGAGTTTCTTGACAAAGAGTGGTTGAAACAACAGTGATATTACCTTAGGCTAGTGGGCTAATTATAACAGACCATAAAGCATCTCTAGTTTTGCCCATTCCATTCATTTAACAAAGGAAACTGAGGTGAGTGGAAGTGATTGCTAAGATCATACACTGAATGGTAGACAACACTAGAGTGTAGGGGTTATGTCCAGTTCATTTTGGTATCATAACCCCATCTTCAGTATAAAATAGATATATTTTTAAGAATAAACAGAGAAACAAGTCCCAGCTGGGCCATCCTGTCACCAACCATTTAGAGAGAGCAGGTTATATTTTGCTCTACCCAACTCCACTTTTCCAGGAATTGCTGCTCTCTACACAGTTGTAGAGAGAACCAACGTATAATCTAAGTACTTAGTATAGGGCTGGGCATCTAATACAAAGTGGGTCACAATAAACACATTGACTAGTGATTTTGGAAATATTTGTGAGAGGTAAAGACAGGGAGACAGACAAATGGAGATCTTTGGGTGAGAGGTAGGTACTCTAGCAGGTTTTCCACTGTGTACCTGAAATGAGTAAAAGCTGGTCATTTGAGATATAGATGATAGATAGATAGATAAATAGATAGACAGACAAGTAGGTAGACAGATAAGAGAGATGTAGAGTTGACAGAAGAGAGGAGAGAAAAGAGAGAGGAAGTTATGATAATGTCTAAGAGCCCGATTTTAATTCATTGTTACATTTCTAACTTTAGGTAGCATAATATGCTTCTCTATTAACCCAATAAATTATGCTGGTAGAGTTGAGTCTCATAATTGCAATCCAAAGAATGTTAACTAATTTGCGATAGAATTATGCCTCTAACTTGTGTATAACATCTGTGCTTCTCCCCAACATTCAAATACCTGAGTTTTTCTAATATTTATACCTTTGTTTCAAACTTCTCACTTATAAGCTATGAAAAAAATCCAATAGTTCTAAACAATAGTAATTGTAATAAGAAGCCAAGTTTTGAGTTTGTTAACAAACGTTGATTTAGCTGCTACTAGGGATGTGAAGAATTGTTTCATTTGAAATGACAGAATGATATATGAAATTGTACCCATATGGAGGATCAGCAACCAGTACATTTTAAGAGATTAATATTAAAAAATCCACTTTAATAAAATCAATTTTGGGAAAAGCTGCAGGCTACATAAAGAAAATTGAGTGGTGAAGGAGTCTTATACTTGTTAGAGCTTTGGGTCACTTTAGAAATCTGAAAGAAGCTTTAGATTATCTACCCATGTAAAAGCACATTTGCATAGTTTTGTGGATATTTAGAGGGTCCAAAGAGATCTTTGGAGGTGTGAAACTGATTTTAAATAACTTTATATATGTTTTTTAGATAGTTTAACTTTCTGTTTGACCACTAAAGACAGGGAAAGGGTAAATTTGTATGGACTTGAATTAAGCTAACTCACTCACTCACGCACTCACTCACTCACTCACTCACACATCTTATACTGTTTTGGTCCCATTGCATCTAAATGAAGTCCAAATGCTTTGCTCGGCAAATAAGAACATTCAAGTTCTTGCTCTTGTTATCTTCTTTCAGTCCTATTTATACATCTTTTTCTCCAGCCACATAGAACCAGATAAAAATGAGGTTGTTTTATGCCTTATACATGCTGTTCCCTCTTGCCACTTATGCACTGATTGGTTGGGCTCCTCCTACTCATCCTTCAAGACAGGAGTCTTATTTCACTTGTGGGAAGCTTTCCTTGTCAGCTGGGTGAGGGGCAGTTTTCTGCAGCTTCTTTGCAGCCCCTTTCTCTACCATATCACTTACTGTGGGCTGTTATAATAGTTATTAGAGTACCTCTCTCATCCATCAGAGAAATGGAGACTGGGCCTGTGGCATAGCCACTTATATGTCTTCAAGGTTTGGTTAGTGGCTGGAACATAGTTCTTAAGACATGCTTCCTGGGTGAATCAGTGAATGAGTGAGTGATTTTATTTGGGGCAATAAGAAAATTGCTTTACCAAACCTCCACTTCAATTTTCCTTTCTGAATTCTGTTGATACAGGATTGAGAAGCATCAATTATTGCAGAAATGCAGCAAAACCCTCCAAAAGAGGCAAAATAAAAGAGCAAAGTCTATTTTTCATAATCGTATTCACAACAGACTTAACACTCAAGGAGAAAGCGTTTGCTGCTGTTTCCTGCATTGCAAAAGGCTTGCCAAAATGGATACTATTTTTCTAAAATATTTCAAAGTGTGAAGTGCATGAAGAGGCCTCCCGTCATTTTAAGATGAATTATGTTCTAATCCGGGCATTTCAAAAACAACAACAACAGAAAAACTCAGGCTGGTTTTCAATTCTGTCTGCATCTCCTCCTGGCTAAGTGCTGGGAATATTAAAACAGATTTTTATTGCTTGCCAGATTTTTTTTTAAAGCAAAGAAAGAACCCATTATATTTTAAAATGTGATGTCTGGTAAAAAGGTCACCCTCAGTTTCGGGAAGCTGGACTGAAGATGTTAAAATAGGTCTCCTGACCATCCTTTATTTTGATAGCAGCTGGTGAATGGGTCACAGGCTTTGGAGGGATACCTGTACACGTGCTACAGGTCCAGTTTCTCGGGGCAGATGGCATGCCTATTACCAAGTGATGATGAGGTCTCTGCATGCATGTTGGCTAGGACAGGGACCAGCCCAGACTCTAGGAGTCCTACTTCCCTTCTCTGTTGGAGGAGAGTCTCAAAGTCAAAGATAGTCTAACATCAAGGCACTGAGTGGAAATAAAAAACCTAGAAGAGAGGGCCCCACCCAGCATCAGAGGCAGAAGGGGCAGGACTGCTGAAGCCCTCCTCGAGCTCCATACAGCCAGGTGCATACCATATGTTCGGTTTTGCCTTGAGACATCTCAGGGCCTTCAGCCTGCACTGTGGTGGCAGAGGCTTCCTTTCCTTCCTTTCCTGAACAAGAAATAAAAAGTGGAAGTGTTTAGTTTGGTCTCTTCATTTTAATACATACACATATGCCCCCATGCAAAGAAGATGTTGAGGCTGTGCTGTATGGCTGGCACTGTGTTGAGTGGTGGGGATACACTGGTGGGCATGAAAGGCCGATTTCTGGCCTGATAGAGTGCTCAAAAGGGAGGCAGAATTATCATTTCATTACCAACTATCATAAACACAACATAGGAGAATGTAAAAATATTTAAACTTATTTTGGGGTATGTGTGAGTGTTAGAGCATCAAAGAAGGCTTCTTGAAGGAAGTGACACTTAAACTGGGGACCTGAAGCATGAGTAGAAGTTTCTAGGCAAAAGTGATGGTGGGGTGCACTTGGTACAGAGATTTCCAGAGAAGCACAGACAATAGCCTGAACTGCCCTGAATCAGGAGGGTTTTTTACAGTCTGGGGAGTAGTCCTGTCTCTTAATACAGAAGCAGGCACTTCTGCCTCCCCCTCCACAAAGGTGTGTGCCTAAAGTTCAAGTAAAACCTTAATCTTCTCCCTTCCTTGCTCCTTTGAGTGGTCAGAGGTCCTGTGCAGACATATGTTTGAATAGCCTCCTTAATCCAGGGCTTCTACAAATTGCTTAGTTGGCTGTCTCCATGGATAGAACAAATTTCTTTAGGATTCAGGAAAAAGACCCAAAGACCTTCTGCTAAAACCCTCTAAGAGTTACTGTGAGTATTCCTCATTCATCACTTAGTACCTTCCATCAGATTGGCTACTGATTTATTTTGCAAATCTATGTGATGACCACACAGTCCAGATTTCTGGATGCTTCAGCTCCAGTATTTAATGCAGATTAAAGTATGACATTAAGAAATACATACTGCTTCTGAGTTGGGTTTCACTGTCTATACTAATTAAAGGGTAATATGCTAATTAGACTGGGAGACCTTCTGAACGTCCTTGGTGGCAAGGCCAAGGCAGAGAGGATTAAGGGTAATCAGTCCAGGAGGGGAGAGCAATTGGGATTTGGGGGTGAGCAGGCCAGCAAGGAGGGGCGGGCAGTTGGTGGTGAGCAGGCTGGCAGGCAGAGTTGTTAGAGGAGATCAGGCAGGCAGGCAGGAAATGGTTAGGAGCCAGCAGTCCTGGATTGTGAGAGGGTTGTCCTCTGAGAGGTCCCTGTTTGGAGAAGGTGCAGGCTGGGCTGAGGCACATCAACCCCCATCTCCATGCACGAATTTCATGCACCAGACCACTAGTCCTCTATAATAATAGGCTAATATGCAAATTGACCTAATGGCAGAACCACCAGTTGCCATGATGTGCACTGACCACTAAGGTGCAGATGCTCAATGCAGGAGCTGCCCCCTGGTGGTCAGTGAACCAGGAACAGGGCTCACAGCTGGCAAGCACAGCTTCAGTGGCAGGAGCCTCCAAAGTCTCTGCAGCAGCCCTAAGGATGTCTAACTGATGGCTTAGGCCCTCTCCTCCTGAGGGCTCCCAGACTGCAAAGAGGGCGCAGACCAGGCTGAGGGACCCTCCCCCCCCCCCCCCGCCCCCTGTGTTCACAAATGTCATGCTCTGGGCCTCTAGTTTTTTAGTAAGTTCTGACTCCTTTCTCTACTGGCTGCATGACCTTGGGCAAGTTACTTGACCTCTTTGTGTCTCAATTGCCCCTTCTGTAAAATGTGGAGAACGCCACCTAGAGGCTATTGTGAAAATTAAATGAACTAGAAAAAAAGCAAATACCTCGAGCACAGCAAGTGCTCACTAAATGTTAATTAATAGAATTACCTATCGAAGCATGTTTATATAAGTATTCCTCTATCAGAAGAAAGGCTTTTTGTTAGGCTTTTAACACTGCACCTGCAAGTCATTAAGAATCTTCTCCCTCAGTTTTTTGATGGAGAAAACAATGCAATATCATAATTTTCTCTGAATCCCCAGCACCCAGTGTTAAAATAAGGACTCAATGCATGCTTGTTGACTCAGTGAATAACCTTGTGCCTTAATTTGGAGTTTGGTAAATAAAATCACTACATATATAATTCTGTTTCCCCAATTCCTTTCAGGCCCTAAAAGAGGAGGAGTTTTCTCTGTATTTCTGTATCCTCCCATACAACCCAGCCATGATACAGAGTAAAAATTAATAGATGTTTAATAAGGATCTTTATGACAACCAGTTAGGGCTGCCTCTTCCAGGCAGGTCTAATTTCATCTGCTGAAAACTTAAGTTGTCATGGGAACTTAGTAGCAATGGTCCCTGCTTATTTCACCCAGAATGTAAAAGAAGCTTTATGTTTCCTGTAAATGAAAAAAGGTTCACATTATTCTGAAACACAGAGTCAGAGAGTTAAAGGGATTCTAGAAACAATATATAACATAAGGGCAGAAAGGTGGATTTCGGTATCAGACCCAAATGCTATTCTGCTTCTTTCCTTTTGAATTTTAATTTTGTCATTTATGAAAAGGGGATGATATCAGTAATCTCCAGTACCATGGGGATTTTTAAAAACTGTCTTAACATGGGGAAGATGGTCAAAACAGGATTTATTATTTGTTGTTGTTTTATCTATAATAATAAAAGCGTAATATGCTAATTAGACAGGACAGCCGAAGGCCTGAAGGAAATGTGAGGGCCAAGCTGCTTGCATGAATTTTCTGCATTGGGCCTCTAGTTATAATTATATGACCATAAGCATGTCTAGAAGAGGATTTAACATTAACTAGATGTGTCAGGCATTCTTCTGGGCACTGTTAATATGCATTATTCCTTTTAGTATAAGGTCTAGAATCTAGTCTTTGTCCTAGTTCAGTTTCTCTTTACTGTCTGCACTTCTGAAACTTCTTTTAGGAGAAAATACAGGGGTATCTTTTAAGTTTCTCTGTCTTCCTCCTAATACCTAAAAGCCTATAAAAAGCTAATGATTTGCACATGTAAAAATCGGTGGACAAACCCCAAGGCAGAACAATTTTTTTCTTTCTAACACAGCAGGAAGGATAAATAATAACCATCTGTCTAGTCAACTTGCCAGCTGAAGATTTGTACTGGAGGAAATCAGCCAAGCTGGCTTCTAGAAATTTCCAGGTGTTGGAAGGGTCAGGTTTTACAGGGCTTCCTGTGGATTCTGATAGTTACACAGCCAGTGCTCCCATTCCTCCCTCCCCCCACTCTCCCTGTCCTCCCCCATCTGCTGACCCCCCCCCCCCCCACCAAATAACTTGAATCAGAGGTCTTCAGTGCTGGCTGCTAACATGCTCATATCTGGGGAGCTTTGAACATTACCAATTCCCAGGCATCACACCAGGCCAATTAAATCAGAATCTCTAGGGATGAGAACCCAGCTCAGGCCTTGTAAAAAAATTCCCTAGATAATTTTCTAGTGAAGCCAGGGTAGCTAAAAACAAATTTAAATACTGGCTTCTGGTCTCAATGGACCTACAGAATGAAGTTTTGTGAGAAGGAAAACAATATATGTCAAATATCTATACAGTCCAGGCACTTCCCTCATTTTTTCTTATCTTGAGAATAACCCTGTGAGGTAGAAACTATCTCCATTTGACAGATGAGGAAACAGAGGCAATGAAAGTTTCAGTTACCTGCTTATGATATCAGTGGTAGGGATAGGTTTGGGATTCTAATTCATTCATTTATTCAACAAGCATTTGTTAAGTGTTTATTCTATACGAGGCTCCATTCTAGGCACTATAATACAACTATGAACAAGACATAATCTTTTAATGGAGTGTGCATTCCAGTGGTGGGGCAAACAAATAGGTAAAATAACGTCAAGTAGTGATAAATGTTAAGAATACATCTAAAGCCAATTATGGGCATATAACATAGTGGTGTTTGCTATTTTAGATTGGGAATTTGCCAAAAACCCCTCTAAAGTGACATATAAATAGATCCATGAGTGAAGAAACAAGAGAGAAAGGCATAAAAATGTCTGGGGAAAGAGCATTCCAGAAGAGAACTATGGCCAGGGCAAAGATTTCAGAGAGCCTTCTTAGTGTGTCCCAGCAATAGCTGAGAAGAGAGCCTCTCAGACCCAGAATGTAAAGGGAAGATAAGTGGGTCAAGTATTCACACAACTAAAGGGCCTCATGAGCCATGCATGTGCCTGGAGTTGATTTTTTTTTATTATTTTGGCTTCCCAGCATTCATCCCTTCTCTGATATTCTTCCCTTCATTACTCTCTTATACTGATGGCAACTGTCTTTTGCATTCTGTGGCCCACTCCTCCCCATCCCAGTGTGTGGTGTGGAAGGAATATTTCAACTCCAGTTTTGGTGTCAAAGAGTTGAAGACTAGGGTGGGTCTTATGTCCAATGAAGAGTGGTGCCTTCATAAGAGAAAAGAGAAAAGAACTTAGAGAGAGGGACACAGAAGAAGGAAAGCCATGAGAAGACAGAGATGGGGTTTATAGTTATGCAGACACAGCCAAGGAATGCTTTGGGGGCCCAAACCTGGAGGAAGCAAGGAAGGATTCTTTTTTAGAGCCTTCAGAGGGAAATGATTGATTTCAGACTTCTGGAAGTATAGAGTATAAATTCCTATTATTTTAAGCCACCCAGTTTGTGGTATTTTGTTACTGCAGCACTAAGGAAATGAACACACTCACCATCCTCTTTTTGCTCTCTCAGTCTCTCAATATTCCTATAACCAATACCTCAATTTCTTGTTGTGAGTTCTCTCTGTTTAACATACCTTGTAAGGTTTTTGTTTTCAGTTAGAATAGAAACTTACATATTTCTCCACCCCAGATGCTCAATACCTTGCATTTTGATCTTAAGGTAATTAGTAAATGGTTGATGGATATAGTACATAGAGAAATTGCAATAGCAGATTAATATCAATGCATATTTTTTCACCTGTCATATTTAAAACTTGCCAGTTGCTAAATATTTTGTCCAATTCATCCTTATAATTTTGCTTAATAATATGTCTTGGAAATCTTCCTGTATTAGGCCAGCCAGGTTATTACAGTTGCATAGTTTTATCAGTTGGACATTTGTCATCTAAGGAAATTGTTCCTAAAGAATCTTTATGTTGTTTTCATTTATTAAAACATTAAAAAGTTCTGCCATAAATATACACGCACACAAACACACACACATGGGTGTGTAGTGGTATTTTGTGAGCTATCAGTCAGATAGGTCTGTACTCTTGATCTAAAGAGCTGCATGATTAAAGTTTCAATAAATAATACCAACTTCCGCTGAAACCGGTTTGGCTCAGTGGATAGAATATCGGCCTTTGGACCAAACTGTTCCAGGTTCGATTCCATCAAGGGCATGTACCTTGGTTGCAGGCACATCCTTGTAGGGGATGTGCAGGAGGCAGCTGGTCAATGTTTCTCTCTCATCGATGTTTCTAACTTTCTATCCTTCTCTCTTCCTCTGTAAAAAATCAATAAAATATATAAAAAATAATAATATCAACTTCCATAAGTGTGCTGGATTCACTATAAAGAGCTAACACTAGAGAATACTTCATGATATCATACAAATTGGAGAGTTATGCATTTTATGATCCAACTGTCCTAAAAGAATAGTCATTAAGGTAATTCTCACTCTTATTTTTTTCTGCACTGGTGAGCCATTTACATTTCTGAGAGCAATGAAATCAAACCCAACAAGCAGACAGTTGGAGCTAAGCATTAGAGTCAACAATAGCTCTGGGAAATAGGAGGTCCTCAGAGGAACAATATTACTAAACTCACCTGTAGGCAAAGCAGAAGACAAATTAGAGGAAGCTCTGCTCAACAACTCAACAAAATTCTGCCATCTGTGCAAAAATGAAGACAAAATATTGGTGGTCAATATCATTGCTCAGGAAGAATGTGCAATAAAGTTCAAAGTTTATATTGATAGTTTTGAAGGAGCTTATTTTTTTAATCCTCCCTGGAGGACATGCTTAGAAAGTGGGGGTGGAGAGAGAGAGAGAGAGAGAGAGAGAGAGAGAGAGAGAGAGAGAGAAAGAGAGAGAGAGAGATTGGTTGCCTTTTGCAGTTTCCCAACTGGGGATCAAATTGGAAACCCAAGCATGTGCCCTGACATCAACCAGCAACCTTTCTGTGCAGGGAGGGCACTCAACCAACTTGCCGGGCCTGAAGGAGCTTTCTGACACCTGAATCATTCAGGATGAAATGTAGGAAACAGAAGCTCCTTTATGTATCTCCACTAGAAAGAACTTGAATATAAGGAATAGGTGCCCACAAATGACTGCAAGGCCAGTGGAATGGAAGTTGATGTTTGCTGCTAGGCTTAGGGACCAACCTGTGTCAGCAGATATAGTCTAGAAACCAGGACATTGCAGGAAATTCTGGCTCATGTCTCAATTGCCCCTGACCATGAGGTTGATGACTTGGCTGTCATCAACTGCATTTTGACCACTGGAAAACTGATGCCTGCCAGGGTCTGGGGTTCCTACTACTGCAGAGAAAGTAAACACTTAAAATATCTTTGTCCTACTTCCTTCTGTCTTTAAAATCTCTGTTGGAACTTAAATCAATTTCAGAACTTTGGTGTCAAGAGAGTTTTAAAAAATGTTCTTTTCAGCCTTCCCAAGTATGGTATATATTGCAACACAGGAAAGAGAATAGAAGGAAATAGGAATGAGTGCTGAGTGCAAATAGACACTATTTAGCAAAGTCCCGAAGCAGAAATTGCATTGAGCAATACATCTGCATGTGACAATCAGAGTCATGTAAGCTTACAGGTATTTTAAGAATGCTTTGGTACTGGAGAATCACTTGTATTTGCTTGTCCAGCATCCATCCACTTTCCATTTATATATAAATATGTTCTTATCTGGGGCAATGGACCACAATCAAGGTCCCATACCCTTCCCTGGACAGTGCTGTGATACACCTTGTCTAAATAATCACTATCTATCACTTTCTCCACTTCCACTTCCTCTTTCTCTCTCTCAGACTCTATCTCTCTATCTTTCTATCTCTCTATCTTTCCTAATTTTTGGTTTGGTACTTCCTGAAGTTCCCACCCCCCCTAATTTTGTGTAATATTTCACATCCTTTCAAACGTTTATTTTGCTTATGTTAGCCAAGGGCAGTTTCTGTTTCTAGCAACCAAATTATATCTGATTAGAATTTTTATCTCTTTATTATCCTTAAGAAGTTAAGCAAAAAGAAAGAGCAAATTGTGAGATATATGTCTTAAATTTTCACGTGATTGTATTCTCTTCAAATAAAAATAATTTGTTAGCTATATAACTAGTTTTGCTTACATTGCATAAAACTTTTCCTGTACATGATATTACAAATTAGCAAAGTTCTTAGATTAGTATAGACAAATATGGCCTCCAGAGCTTCATTTATTTTGGGGCACATAAATACATCAAGCATAGGTATATAAAACCAGAAGCCAGATAAGCTGATGACTACATCAGCTGCTGAAGGCTAGGCAAGGCAGGAGAAGCAGGATCTGATATTAGCACAGATCTGGAAATGAACTGCAGTAGAGGTAGTTTCTGTCTTTTACACTTGCTGCAATTTATTTCTAGGCCTTCTCAGGAGGGCCAAGCTTATATCTAGAGCATCTTTTAATCTGTTGAAAAACAACAGCCTGACAAACAAAACCCAGATACATTCATACTTTCACATTGCATAACATTTATTTTTTTAGAATTGATTGGAGTTATCAAATATGAGATGAAGCCTCTGGACAAAATGGCACCAGAAACGCTCTTGTCCCCTTTTTTTTTTTAAAGAAATATTTTATTGATTTTTTTTACAGAGAGGAAGAGAGAGGGATAGAGATTTAGAAACATTGATTAGAGAGAATTATCAATCAGCTGCCTCCTGCACACCCCCTACTGGGTATGTGCCTGCAACCAAGATACATGCCCTGGACCAGAATCGAACCTGGGACCTTTCAGTCTGCAGGCCAATGCTCTATCCACTGAGCCAAACCCGTTTCAGCTTTCTTGCCCCTTCTTGATCATGTGGTGCTAGTAGGGGAAGGAGACTGTGGGAAAATTTTCTAAGTACTGAGTTTGAATATTACCTTATTTATATGGTGCATAGGACTAATATGACCAATACATTTCTTAAGATTATTTGAATAAAATGTTTTCATCTATATTTTTAATTAAACTTATTGGGGTGATACTGGTTAATAAAATTATATAGGTTTCAAGTGTACCATTCTATGATATTTCATCTGTATATTGCATTATGTGCCCATCACCCAAGGTAAAATCTGGCATATTCTTTATTTGACCTTACCACCTTTAAAAAGCTATATGTGAGAATGAGCTCTGGGTGTCATAACAAGACTATAATTCTAATCACAGAAGCAGATGCCAAACTCCTAATATCAAGTCAAAGAAATCAGGACATGTCTGTGAGGCTAATCCTAGATTCAGACAGATCTGAGTTCAAATTCTAACTTTGATTTAAAATGGCCTTCAGTTAACTTTCTGAGGACTTTATGTGCATTTCTCATTTTACTGAAAAAAACATTTTTTGAGACATGTAGATAACTTGCCCAAGGACATGGATCAATGAGGCAGCCAGGACGTAAACCCTGGCTGTCTGACTCAAATCCTGTGCCCTTCACCATTGTACTATGTGATCTTACATTTCCATTTCCCTCTCTGGAATTCCATGAGCACAGCTCTGCTGTCTTCTGACATTTATTATTGCAGAAGTTTGAGGTTTGTCTGATTTTTTGTTCATTTGTAATTATTTTTCCTTTTATTTGCTCTGGTTTAGTTTTATTTTGTTTTTGGCTTAGAGCCTTAAATACTTTTCTTTGTCTTTTTAATACATACATTTTGTCAGGATTAATATGGGTACATTTGTTCTTTCTTTCTTTTTAAAATATATTTTATTGATTTTTTTACAGAGAAGAAGGGAGAAGTATAGAGAGTTAGAAACATTGATGAGAGAGAAACATCAATCAACTGCCTCCTGCGCAGCCCCCACTGGGTATGTGCCCACAACCAAGGTACATGCCCTTGACCAGAATTGAACCTGGGACCCTTCAGTCTGCAGGCCAACACTCTATCCACTGAACCAAACCAGTTGGGGCTACATTTTTTTCTTAATTTAGTTTAGAGTAATGTGAATCCTTTTCATCTGTACACAGAGAACTTTTTTCTCTTTTCCAATCTTTGCAAAGTTTCTTCAGTTGCAATTTTTGTTTTTATATTATGAACAATTTTTCTGTTTTCTTATTTTACAACAAGCAAAATCATGTGGCCCCTGCCACCTACATGTGCCCTGCCCACCCACCTGTCACGAGTCTTGACACCCTAACCTCACCACCCAGAGCTCAAGCGAGCCTGGCCACATCCCCAACCCCTTCAGCCTTCTCTGGCTGCTTCAAGCTCCGTCCTCAGTCCTATGAGTCTTCTCAGGCTGGTTCCTTCTTTTCCAGGTGCCTCCCCACTTCTGCCCCATCTCTAGAGCAATGTAGTGGCTCTGCCCTGTCATGGCACCGGAGGAGAGTGTGGAAGCTTCCCACCTGCTACAGAGTTTTGAGCACTGCTTCCTGGCAGCGTGCATGCTGCACTACTTCCTCTGGCAGGTGGGTGGTGTGTGTGCTGAGTGTGAGCAATGGGTAGTAAAGGACTGGTGAGGGGGCACTATAAGCTCTCACCCATGCTCTCCCCACCATAGTATGGTCCTGCCTCCATACTGCACCTCCCCACTTCCACTCCACCTCCAGAGCAACATGGCGGCTACGCCCTGCTGTGCACATGCACACAGCCTCCTGCTGATTCTCACTATGGCATGAGGGTGTCACGGCCATTAGCATATTATCACTTTATTATATAGGAATTATATAGGATACCAAGGCTTTGGGGGTTTGAGTTAGTCTTATTCTTCTACATCTACTATTGTATCTTATTTTGTTCTCTGTTCTTCAGATTTTGTGGGAACCTCTCAAAATTGATATTATGAGATTATTTTTAGTGTTAATTTTGCTTTTTTATTGAGTACTGGTTACTCTTTTATTTGATAAATAATATTTTATTGTAACACATCTATTATGTGTTGCTTTTTTACTGCTTTCAGGCTATGATCATATAATTGAGTAGTTGCAACAGACTGTAGATCCACAAAGCCTAAAACATTTACTCTCTTGCCCTTTATAGAAAAGGTTTGCTGATGTAAACATTTACACTAATAAAAGAGAAAGATGCCAATTGACCATCCCATCATGACACCCATCAGCCAATCAGGAGTGAGTATGCAAATCAATACAAAGATAGTGGGCTAATTTGCATATGCAGGTGCTGGGGCAGGAAGGGACACAGGCATTCCACACTGTCCCAGCAGCTCCAGGCCTCTGGGCAGTTTAGGAAGGTAAAAAGGTGGCTCCAGGCTGGAGCCTTTGCAGAAAGGCGGCTATGGCCAGAGTGAAGTTGGTGCCAGCAGCCAGGGGAAGGAAGGCCCATTCTTGCCTCTAGTTTAACATAAATGCCATTATACCCTCAAATATCTAGTAGTATTCATATTTCCTTAATTGTTTCATAATTTTTATTGAGATATAATTTACACAACATTGTGTTGGTTTCAGATGTAGAACAAAATAATTCAATATATGTACATACTATAAAATGACAAACACAGTAAGTCCAGCTAAAATCCACTACCACACATAGTTACAATCTGGTTACCTCTTAATTCTACCTCTTAACTGTTTGCTTGAAACTATCCAGAATTCTCCAAGGTTTTATTAATTTCTTCTATTCACCTTTTGTGCTTTTAAAATTTATTTTTATAGCCTTTTAATCTCATTATGCTTATTATTTTC